AATTTTAAGTCCATTCGGTTTGGTATGTGATAACTGTCTCATCATGGTTTTTTAATGAAATTTCCATGATAACTAGTGATAAATGATCACTACCTTTTTACATATGTTTTGTTGATCACTTTTTGGATATCCTCTGTTGAATCTTCATCCAAAAACATGCTTTTATTAGAGTATCTGTCTTTTTTTCTTAGGTGATTTTGTAGAAGTTATTTACATGTTATAGATATGAGTCATCTGTTAGATATATCAAATATACTTTTTTAAGAGAGTGACTCTCACTCTCTTAATAGTGTTTTTAAATGAACAGAAGTTTAAAGGTTGTCCTTCTTCAAATTGGTTCCATATACATTTTACAATAAGACTTCTAAATTCTACAAAAAAAATTCACTGCGATATCGACTAGAATTGAATTAAACCCTTAGAACAAATCCAAGCAAATTCAGATATTTCCCAATCCATGAATATGATATATCCCTGCATTTGCCTTTCTACATTTTCTCTCAGTATTTTTTGGAGTAGATTTTAGAGCACAGGTTTTGTGTAACATAGGCTATATTTACTCCTAGGAACTTTATGAATTTTAGTGAAATTTGAAATCATTTTCTTGTTATAGTTTGAAGCCCTGTGGGCTTGGGTTTATTTGTACTTTGGGGTTTTCTTTTTTGTTTTGCTTATTTTTGAGGATCAAACACAGGGTCTCATGCATGCTAAGAAAACACTATCACTGAACCCCAACCCTAGTTTTATTTTCTGTTTTGTTGCTAGTATAGAAATTTATCATTAGTTTGTATGTTGACCTTATATTAGTCAAATCTGCTAAAGTCTAATATAAATTATAATTGTTTTTAATTTTTTGAAGTTTTCTATACACCCCATCATGTCATCTACAAATGATAATGTTACATTTCCCTTTGCAATCACTATACTTTTTGTTGCTCTTGCCTAGCTACGTCAAAACCATTCATATAATGCTCCATAAAATTAGTGATGTTACACATCCGTGTTCCTGACGTGAGGGTAAAAGTGTTAAATATGTTATCATTAAGTGTGCAGTTAGCTGTATTTTTTGGCACATGCTTCTCACCTCATTAAAGAAGTTTCTTAAATCCTTAGGTTTCTGAGTGTTATTATCATAATTAGATACTAAATCCTATCATATCATTTCCTGAATCTATTGAATGTTTTTGTAGCAATTTTTCCTTTATTGATGTGGTGAAATTCATTGATTGGTTAGGGATTGGTTTGTGTGTTTAAGTTGTTACACAGCCAACCTAGAAAAAATATCCGCTTAGTCATGATGCATTGCTTTTTCTTTAATTGCCAAATTCAACTTACCAATATTTTGCTTATGGTATTTGTATATAAGTCCACAAAAGATATACTATCTTTTTTCTTTCTTGTAATGTTGCTTTCTGATTTTGGCATTATTGTAATGATGGTAGTTTTAAATGGTCTGGGTTGGTATTGCCCCCTTTTTTTTCTATTTTCTCAAACAGTTTGTTTATAACTACTATTATTTCTTCATTGCATATTTGGAAGAATTCACTAGTAAGGTCAGCTTGACTTGAATTTTTCTTCATTGAAATGTTTTTAATTGTATATTTATTTAGTAAATACAGGAATATTCAGATTTTCTTTTTCTTCTAATGTCCATTTTGAAAAGCTGTGTTTTATAAAAAACTTGTCCATTTTATCTAAATTTTCAAATTTACAGTCATAAATTATTTATAATATCCCTTTATTAACTTTTATATGGCCTATAGTAATGCCCACTTTTTTTTACTCCAAATTGCATAATTTGTGTTTATCTCTCTTTTCTCTTCACCGGCCTGTTAGAAGTTTGTTAGTCTTTTCTAAAGACCAACTTTGGGCTTTGTTAAAATAAAGGGGTCTTTGGTTTTATCTCTATTTCATTAATTTCTGAAAAGATACAAAGTAGGTATGATGAAATGTAATCAAAACTTAATGCTAATTCTCCCATGGTATATTTTTATATACCTAAAAATTTTTTTCCTAATTGATCTACTTCTGTGCTACAAAAAAAAAAAAAAAAAAAAACCTCCCGTCCCCAGACTCTATTGAGAAACAGCAGCTACTGAACGTGGTAGTTAGCTCCTATCACGTGGGTCACACCTGTACCATGTGAAAGGAATTGTTTATTTGACTTAGGCCATAAATTTAACTGTACAATTAAATTTGTTAGATGTCAGATAAAAACTAACAATGAACGAAATGCACTTTCTTTCTCCTTTAAAATCTTGCAGTTATTTTCATTATTAACTCAACCTTAGAGAAATGCTCTTTAGCCAGTTTCTATCTGTAACATCCAGTACTCTTAGTGATTGTAAGAATTATCTCCGCCAGTTTTATTCACATCTGATAGGTTTTCTTTTTCATTGTAATTATAAGTCTGTCACTAAACCAACATTATTTAGTACCTGCAAAGTCTCTTTGTACACAAAACCACTGTAGTGTGTATGTAGAAAACAGAAGCATAAAGAAGTCACCAACCTGCCTTCATGAAGTCCAGTGCAACAGAGGAAAAGAGAGACAGAGAGCCATAACGTCTAGATGTTCCTTCTATGATAGTGAGCAGAGGTATGGGAGCTACCAAAAAAGGCAGTACTATCAAAAGGCTCCAGAAGAGGGCACGTTGGAGCTTACCTTTAAGGGAAGAATAGAATTGCATGAATCTCAACAAAAACTTTAAGTATAGGCTGTGTCCCCACAAAACCAAAAGTCTAATGTGGCCAGAGTGAAGGATTGTTTGGGAAGCCTGGCAGGTGTGTGTATGTTTGGAATTGAGGCTTAGAAGTTTGTGTAGCATCAAATTATTGAGAACCTGAATGACAGGAGGAAAGTTTGGGCTTTATTCTGTAGGCAGTGAGAACCTAGTGAAACAGGGCATGCCAGGAGCTGATAAGCATTTGGCTTGAACCAGGACTGTAGCCACACTGATAGCAGGGGGGCAGGGGGAAGGAGGTAAAAGTTTAGAAGCAAAAAGCCAGCTAGAAATCTGAGTCCGAACTCAAACAAGGATAGTACAGAAAAGGAAGAAATGAGACATTTTTGCAATGTAATTGATGGTACCCATTCAAATGCTGAGCTAATGGAAATCCAGTTTTTATGCAAAAGGACTGAGGGGGGAATAAAAGGAAAGGACTATCATATTAGGAGTACATCTAACTACTGGTGATAACTTTGATCTCTTGGCTAAGCTGATATCTACAGGTTTCTCCCATATAAAAATACTACTTTTCCCTCCATAATTAGCATCATGTGAGGAGATACTGAAAACACAAATAGTCTATTTGCTTCAGTGCTCTTCTGCTATCTTTAGCATTCAGGTGTAGGAGAATAAATATGGTGTGTATATTGTGTACACGTGTATGTAATGGAAAAATGAGACCTGTTGAAACTATTCCAGGAATGGGGGGAGGGGAAAAAAGGGAGAGAATGATGGAGGGCATGGATTCAAGTATGATATATTTGATCCATTGTAAAAACTTTTATAAATGTCACAATGTACCTGCAGCACAATAATAATAATAAAAGGAAAAAAAATTACCATGCTGTTAACTAACAGTGATTTTTCTACTGTCCTCACTCCTTCTGTGTTTGTCAGTTAGAAGTGAATCATGAGAAAGAGTCATCCTTTGTTCTCTACTTCTTTCTTATTTATTTGTACCAGTTTACAGCAACGTTTATGTCAGTGTGGACTCAGATACTTAGTCTTTGGGCTACAATTGAGGTTATCATTATTAATTTTGTTGCACAAATTGTTCCAGCTCTGGCCATTGGGAATGCCTCCAAGTTTGTCCTGTGTCCTAATGATGTGTCCCTGTCATTTATTGAATGTTTCTTTGCTTTCTGGCATCACAAGATATTCCAGGCTTATTTTGTATTTTTCTAGCACAGCTCTGAAATCAAACTTTCTTATTATTAGAGGACAATGTTTATAAAGCATCTGGGTCTGAGGTATGCGTGCTTGCTCCTAAGATACCATTGTTCCTAGGCCCAGGACACTTATCCAGTGTCCTAGCCATCTTTCTGGAAGAGATGTCCCTTGTAGTTCTGTATTGGGAAAAATTTAAGGACAGTGACACATTCAGATAACTATTCTTTGGAAATAGTAATGGAAAACCAATATTCTTTGTTCTCTTTCTTTTTTCTTCTCTAGTTCTTCAGTTTGGATTCACAACTATCTTTGTGGCAGCCTTTCCTCTAGCACCACTTCTGGCCTTACTAAATAACATAATTGAAATTCGACTTGATGCTTACAAATTCGTCACACAATGGAGGAGACCTTTAGCCTCAAGAGCCAAAGACATAGGTAAGTTAGATTTGGGTATGCTTTTTTAAAGAGCTTAACCATTTCAGATAAAAGTTTAAAAGCTACCAACCTTCTTATGGCTTCCATATAAGATGATTCAACTACATTTTCCATAGCATAATAATATTAGCTTTGAATAATATTAGACAAAAAGTAAAGCTGCCTATTGGAAAGTTTATAATTTCTGCTGTGAAATAACTTGTACTTAAATAGTTTCTCAATTCGGTTATTTCTACCTTAAGACTTTATAATCTAAATATTGTAATTATTATCACTTTTTAAAATAGATCTTCCAGGCCAGGTATGATGGAGTACACTAGTAGCAATCTCAGCTACTTGAGAGGCCAAGACAGGAGGATAGACGTTCAATGACTGCCTTAGAGAGAAAAAAAATCACAAGACCCTAACTCAAAAACACTTAGTAGCAAAAAAAAGCTGAGGATGTGACCCAAGTGGTAGAGCATTTACACAGCAAGCAAAAGGCCCTGAATTCAAGCCCTAGTCCTGCAAAAAATAAATAAATGAATGAACAAATAAATTGGATCCTTCCATTTGCTTAACTTTGTTCTGTGCTTTCCTGATTCACACGAAGCATGATCCAGTTTTTCCAACAGCAGAAATGAGCTGTGGTCTTTAGATGGTGGCTCTCGCTGACAGTGGCCTTTCAGCCTCCGTATGAAACAAGCTCATCTTCAGTGAGCACCTGCTCTAGGCCACTGTGTCAGGGTCTGGACTTACAAAGATGAGCAGGATGGGACCCTGCCCATCCCCTTGAGGAGCTCCCAGCCTGGTGGTGGCTTGACACTGGGTTGTTAATCTTATCAGATTGTGTTTTGGTGCTTTATCATTGACCATATTTCTCTGACATATCTGATCCTGACCAGTAAGTCATGAGCCCTTAGCACATCCACAGAACTTACGTCATTGCCAAGAAGTTTGGAGGCACAAATTCTTAACTTACTCTTGGCAGCAACGACCAGCGTTTGGACAGCTGAAAGGACCCATGGAAATGACTGAGTTACCCTAGGTGCTTTCATTCTTATTGTCTCTGATGCTGAGTGGGAAGCTAATACCTCATTTCTGTTTGAATAGGAATCTGGTATGGAATTCTTGAAGGCATCGGAATTCTGTCTGTTATTACAAATGCATTCGTCATAGCGATAACATCTGACTTCATCCCTCGCTTGGTGTATGCTTATAAGTATGGCCCTTGTGCTGGCCAAGGAGAAGCAGGGCAAAAGTAAGTGTGCTGTGAAACCATTATGAAATCTCCACTTCCTAGTCATTGTGTGGTGTTGACACTGAGAGAGAAGCCTTAGTTCCGGGGTATGTGGCACACAAGCCCGGATACGCAAGAAGGGCTGTGGTAGGGAAGGTGGAATTATGGCATAATTACACTTTCACCACAAGAAAACACATCTCAATCTCCTGAAGGGTTGGAGATCAAACAAGTCAGACAGGTTTTACATGGGATTTAATGTGAGAGAAGCAATTTATTGTCTTTCCCACCCTCTAACCCCTGCTCTCTATGAATTCAGAAATGTGTGGTACACGAATATGTGCAACAAAAGGAGTAGTACATGATCTAGTATGTCACTGTGCCATTGTTATGGGTTTGTGAAAGGACAATTAATATGTGATTCACATTGTGTTGATACATTGACTGAAAATTTTATGTGGGAAATATAGAGCCATGTACCTAGAACCCAGTAAGAACTCAGTAAATATTTGTGGAATAAATAACTAAATGATTTTTTTTTCCTAGCTACTAAACTAAGCAGTGTCTATATTTCTCCAGTCTGTTCCCAGTGTTCTGTTCCCAAATCCAGAACACTACATATGTGGTTAGATAAAGCCTAGGCAGCATTATATCATGACATCTTTGTACTTTGGAATAAGGGTAAGCTATATTTTTTTAAATCCCAGAAGTCACAATAGTAGTCTAATTATGGGATTTAGATGTCTGTAGGTCACAGTGGAGTGTATTGGAGATCTTAGGTCTTCTTAATGTCCCATAAATCATGTCACAGAGGCTAAAGTCTAATACAAGAAGTCTTGCTTCCTTGTTTAGTAGCCTGAGCCAAATTCATCTTCTACAACCATTCTAGTTCCAGCAGCCTGAAGAAATAAAGTGCCACCAAATCAACTGAATTAAGCAAATCTGGCCTGAATCCAATTTCATTATTAATCCTACACAAATGCACTGAGGCCAGGATGGTTCAGGAGTGCGATAAAGCGCCTATAATGTTGGTTACTACAATAACCGTGAGGCCATGAAGCACTATCTAGCAACTTTAAGTGAGCATACCATCCCATTTGAAGAGAGATTGAAAGGCTTAGATTTGACTACCCAGGCATTTCTGTCTAATTACAACTGCTGTCAACATTCTCTGCTTGGCTTAGCCTAAAAAAGCTTACCTTCGTTCAAACGACTTTCACACACGTTTTGCATTTTATTCTAAAACAACTCTGGGAGTGCAACGTGCATTATTAGCCTCACTTTGAGGAGCAGGAAAAGATTAAGGGAGGTTAAGTCCAAAATCAGAAGGCAGAGTAACTGCTGATGCCCACGCAGAGGTGGAGCCCTACCAATATGGAGCTCTCCATCCAGTGTCACACGGCTCCTTAGAGTCACCAACAAGTGGTTGTCTGCTCTTCTAACAGTTTAAATCTCAGTGGTTAGGTCAATTCTTTCCCAATTCCAATTTGGTGAAGCCTGTATTGGCTTTTGGAGAACCAAAGAAGAAAGTGGGAACATTTCTGCATAAGATTGATAGTGAATCAAGCTTTAGAATTCTAGCAACCAAGTAGGTTTAAGACAGTGTTCATGGTGATTAAAATTTATCAATTGCTCCCTTAATTCAGTTTTATTGGACTCTCAAGGGCTTCTCTTTTTTTTCCTTTGCAAACCTTTCTCTTTGATTTAAGAGCCCTCTGCCACTTTCAATCTATAATTCGGCCTCTTGTCTTTTAATCCACAGATCATTTTTCTTATTTTCCAACCATTATATTTATGTATGTTTCTTCATGAATCTTATTTTCTGCCCTAGCAGCCAGCCACCCTATAACTTTTCAGAGCTTTGCTCCCCTCCTCCTTCTTCCTTTTACAATTCAGAAATGCTTTAAAAATGATTGAACTTAACAGAGTAAAGCAGTGTCAAATTTTAGAAAGTCAGAGGCTTTGGGGGTAGCCTGCGGGGTTGTAGTCAAATCTCACTGAAGATATAACCCATCTGTGAAAGTATATTATAACCCATCTGTGAAAGTATATTTCAATTTCAATTGAACCTAAACAAAAGTACTCCATCCAATCCAATCACCTCATCTCTCTCCAGAGCTCCAGGTTACAACCATGGTTCCTTCTATGGTTCTTTCAGCATTCTCTACCTTCTCATGAATATCCTACATCCTTTGGTTCACATGGCCCTTGTCCCTGTGATAGCACATTCCTGTCTGCTATATGGGTGCTGTCCCCAAACACATTGTAAACTGGTTGAAAGCAAAGACCACATCTTGTATACCTGTGCGTTCCAAGCTCAGCCCCTCTGCTGCTGTCTTCAGGCGTGGTGGGAAGACACTCTTATTTTTCAGTCAGAGATAAAATAAAATAAATGGTTTAAGTCACACTGTCCTCTACATATGGGGTGCACAAGAATTTTTCAGTTATTTTCATCTTTCCTCTGGGTGTGTTCCTTCTCATCAGCTGTAACTTAGCTTGCTGATTCTTGGACCCTCAGACTGCCTGATGTTTGCAAAATGAAGTCATCTCCTCTTTCAGAGTGTTTTCACATGAGTCCTTAGCTTAGAGAACTCTGGGCAGGCATCAGGACACAAAAATTGTGATGTGTACTTGAAGATGTGAGCTATAAAATAGTTCTGCTACTCAGAGTTAAAATGTCAGTCGAGCCATGTGTAGCAGTACATGCCTATGACCTCAGTCACTTGGGAGGCAGAGACAGGAGAATTGTGTTTTGAGGCCAGTCCAGGCAAAAGCATGAGACCCTATTAAAAAAAAAAAAACTAAAAGCAGAAAGAACTGGAGGTATGAATCAAGTGGTACAGCACTTGCCTAGCAAGTGCAGGGCCCTGAATTCAAGTTCTAGTACCACAATGCATTGACAAACTAAAAGTTTTTCCAGACAACACAAATAACCAGTTCAATTTTTTTCCCAATGAATATACTAAAATGACTTTGTTATTAGAAAGGCATAGGCTAAGGTTTTTTTTAATATTCCATAAGGATACGTGCTGCCTTTAGAATTATTATGAAGTATATTCCTTTAAAAAGATGCCCTTGATTGGACTTTGAGCACATGATAAAAGCGAGAGCACACAAGGGAGGGGTGAGGATAGGTAAGACACCTAAAAAATTAGCTAGCATTTGTTGCCCTTAATGCAGAGAAACTAAAGCAGATACCTTAAAAGCAACTGAGGCCAATAGGAAAAGGGGACCAGGAACTAGAGAAAAGGTTAGATCAAAAAGAATTAACCTAGAAGGTAACACCCACACACAGGAAATCAATGTGTGTCAATGCCCTGTATAGCTATCCTTATCTCAACCAGCAAAAACCCTTGTTCCTTCCTATTATGGCTTATACTCTCTCTATAACAAAATTAGAAATAAGGGCAAAATAGTTTCTGCTGGGTATTGAGGGGGTAGGGGGGAGAGGGAGGGGGCGGAGTGGGTGGTTAGGGAGGGGGTGGGGGCAGGGGGGAGAAATGACCCAAGCCTTGTATGCACATATGAATAATAAAATTAAAAAAAAAAAAGATGCCCTTGGCAACTGATATTAACCAAATCTAATTTTCCCATAGAAGCAGTGATGTCATAAAGAGTTAGGACTTTGATCAAGGACCCACTATTCAAATTTTTACATTACTAGCCACAAATATCTTCGTTTTTTAAACTCAGGGCTTCACGCTTGGTAAGCAGGTACTCTACCACTTGAGCCACTCCACCAGCTCACAAATATTTTATTTCATAGATAAGAGTTAATTTATATGTAGAAACTACAATCATGGAAATGGATTGACACCATCACCGTTCATGTGTTTTAAAAGATAAAGTTTACAATCTTATTCATAATATCTGACACTTTTATTGCAACCAGTCAGAAGTCAGAAGTTCTCTTTCTTCTGGTCTCATCATTTTAGCCTGAGAAGCTTTATCTGTTAAGCAGAATTGACTTTAAATGCATAAACCCAATCTTACTTCCTCTAGCCTTTTTCTAACCTTTGATTCCTATCCCCAGGCTATTGGTGTCACAATATCTAAAACTTCACAAGCAAATTTGGTGACATAATTTGAAGACATTCTGCAGTGAGTTTGATCTGAAATCCATAAACCTAAAAGTTAACTTCTGGTTCTGTTCTTCCTCCTAAAACTAGTGATAATCATCATTTCCTTGTGTATTAAAGGGTTAAAAACAATAAGTAATAAATTTTCATGAAAACAAAAGTCTTACTTTTAAATGAATGAGATCTCAGAAGTCACTTAAAAGAGGTACACTTCCTCATCCACACGAGGCCCCCCTTACATAAGACGTTTTCTGAATATTCTTTCTTGGAAATGCCTTCAGAAACCATCTACTGGCCCCATAAGAACATTGACTTTTAACATTATATTCACCAGGAACCCTTCCTCTGCCTGATACTATTGAGGCGGGCAACTCTCACTTCTTTCTGACTATTGGTCTCACTGTCTCTCCACCTGGGAGCTCGTAGAGGGTATGTAGAGCTTCTACCAGCTAGTCAAGTGACAGACATGGCTCTGCTGCTGTCTGTGACCCTCTGCTGTGACAGACAAGTGAGTTGACACATGGGCATCACTGGCTGAGCTGTATACAGTAAAATGTGGGAAATAACACTTCCCTGAATTCACAGCAGCCTCAACTATTTGATGTTGGCAACAGCTGAGATTCTACCAAGGGGGAAAAAATTATTGAGATGCCTAGAATGTTCGTTATTGGGAGCACTTCTTCCTCCCTGATCACAGGAATGAAATGGCAAGACGACTTATAGAGCTGAGGACTGTGTATGTGTACACTCAGTCCACATTCCATGCTTAGCACCAAGAAGGTATAAGCAGCCATTCATTCAGGGTACATTTTCAAATTGGATTTGTGACTGGCATTACCTACCTTTGGTTAATAAGTAGCTTCACAGATTTCTCCTCTTTATTTTGAGGAGTAGGGGGGATGAGACACCATGAGACAGGTGTTTTAGTTGAATTTAGACACT